TTCTACTCAATTACTTTAGTGGTGCTTCAATGGTAGAACTGCATGGAAACATTAATCATATGAAAAGAGATAAATATGAACGGTCACAGGTGAATCAATTATGCAAAAAACACACAAAAACTTTACATTAGAAAAGTTTATTGTAATGAAAATAGTCTGAAATGAGTCACATGGCTGGTGCCGTCTGCAAAATAAGGTCAGAAAAATAAAAAAATAAAAGAAATAAGGTCAGAAATGTGCTGCTTTGTACAGGGCAGTTGTTCCTTTATCATGAACAAAAGATTTATGACAAACATTCATTGAAAGTTTTATTTTGCTCTTAATTCAATATTATCTAATGCCAATAAGGATGGTACCTTTGCATTTTTTTAACCTGTTTTTGGTGCACACCTGCGTTTGGATCCTTTAAGAACTCCCTCTAGGTGCTTTGGACATCTTGTGAGGTGAGAATAACAATAAAGTAGATTCCCTGTGTTTATTTCAGCCCTGCTGCAGCTGCTGGGAACCGAAAAGATAACTGAAACTGAAGGTCAGGGGCCTGTCTGGGAAACCAAACGTTTCCCACGAACAGACAGAAGAAATGCGGCGTTATTAGTACCCCCATCTTCCACAACACTTCCTCCTTTTGGCCGTTAACCGACCAATCAAACGGGTGCATCTCAGTGTAAAACAGAAATTCGTTGTGAAAGCTTGAGCTCTAAAAACCAAACACAAATAATTCCCGTAGTTTACTAAGTATAATACCAGATTATTTTAACGTAGACCATAAGTATATTTTGCACATTTTTACTATTGGTAGCTAAAAACGGCTAATTGGAAACAAGTTTTGTCACCATCTATAGCAGAGTGGAAAATGAGGGTAAAACAAGTGTATATGATGGAAAAAATGGCCGCATGTTTACATGCGGTCATTTTTTTTCTTCTTTGAGGAACTTTTTCTTCTTTGTGGAACTTGGCCACAAAGTGGACAAGTTCAATCAAAGATGGCATTGGGTGAAATTATATTTGGGTGTTTGATTTTGGGCTGTAGTGAATTGCAATCTGTAGTCTTATGGTATGTATTTGTATATGTGTAAGTACAAATATGTAAACATGTATGTGCGTATATATTATATAGGTATTTTTTTGCTGTCGGTTTACTTTATGTTGCATTTGGGAAGGGGAGGGGTGTGGGTTTTTTTAGGGATCTGGTTTATTGTGCTGCGTTTATTTTTGAAATATTATATATGGGGCATCGGTATTTCTGTTATTGATTTTATTGCTCTTGGCTATGGGGATGTTCTTTTGTTCG